AAAAAAAGTGTGATTTTGTAGTTTCCTAGCTTTAAACCCTATTTTTATATGGGATTGGAGTAAGTAGGAGTTGGCTAATAACTCTAAAATCTACAGGACGAGCAGATATAAGGTGTGGCTAATACTCCTGGGACTGAGATCGAGCATCCTGGGAGGAGTCCTCCACCCACAGGCTGCTGTGCTGACCTTGCCGGAGGAGGGCATGGCCTTGGCTCACTGCATGGCAGAGAAATCACTGGTGTCCTGCTCGCTGCACTTGATGGAAATGTGCCGTCTAGGCTACCAGGGAAAGCTGCTCATGGGGATGTCTCTGACTGAAAAATCTACAGGGTACTGTACTGTTGGCCACTGTTTGCTGTGGGAGCCAGGGTTTGGAAAAGCTGTACCAGTGGCAGCCAGATGCTAGCGTCACAGTGGGCGTCGCAGACAGGAGCCTGCAGAATGGACACACTGGAACCAGGAAGATAACCACTCCTACAGTGTCTCCAGGGCTGTCTACTGACTAAGCTTCACATTGTTCCAGCTGGAAAGAAACAGTATTTCAGGAGCCCAGATCATTGCTCATGGAGCCAACAGACAGGACGAAGAGGAGCTAGGAGATAGTAAAATGGTAACAAACACATCCATCCAGAAGCCTTCTCCCTCTCAGTCTCTGCATTGTATTGGTTTCTCCAAGTATCTGTTATTCATGATTTGTTATTTCCATCTTTAACTAGAGCTTGGTTCAGGCACATACCATTTTTCTCTGGTTCACTAGCCTTTTCTGTTCTTTTTTCCATCAGCCTTTTCTTACCCAGTTTATTATCTTTATCTTCTCTTTTCTTGGTATAAAACACAACTAATTATATTAGCCATAGAATTAAATTGAGACAAGACTCTACAATTTGACCATAGCCTGCCTGTCTTCCTTCCTTCCTTCCTTCCTTCCTTCCTTCCTCCTTCCTTCCTTCCTTCTTTTTTTTTTTTCTTTTCTTAAAAAGACTTTAAGTAATCACTACACCCAACATGGATATGAACTTACAGCCATGAGGTCAAGAGTTACATACTCCACTGACTGACCCAGCCAGGTGTCCCATAGCCCATCTTTCTAGTTTCTTCTTCCATCACTGATCTTTGGACTATGTCTCAAACATTCCAGGCCCTTTGATGAGAGTTTGTTTGCCCTTTACCCAAAGAGTTCTGCAAATTTGGTGTTAACCTCAGTGAAGCTTATGTGACTTAGGAAACTGGTCACTCTGTGTTTTCTTACCACTCCTTGCTTTAAAAATATCTGTAAAAGCAGTTATTAAGTTGTATGATAATTGCTATGTTTAGATGCACCTTATTTCTCTTTACATTCCAAGAACCTGACAGCCAATAAGTACGGGAAATAATTTTAAGTTAAGAACATACATTTCCCTCTTGAAATTTTTGTATTGTCACTAGACTTTTTGGCTTCTCATTTTTTAAAAGGTTCCTTTTGAGAAGGAGCTTTTGAACCTTATAGTCGTTTGGTTTTCATTGTAACAATATCCTTTCTATTGTATAGTTTTAGTAGTTTAAAGAGCACTTTTTTTGTTTACTTTTTTTTTTTTTAAATATTTTATTTATTTCTAGGAGAGAGACAGCATGAGTAGGGGAGGGTCAGAGAGAGAGTCACAGACTCTGAAACAGGCTCCAGGCTCTGAGCTGGCAGTCAGCACAGAGCCCGACGCGGGGCTCGAACCCACGAACCGTGAGATCATGACCTAAGCGAAAGTCGGACGCTTGGGGCGCCTGGGTGGCTTAGTCGGTTAAGCGTCCGACTTTCGCTTAGGTCATGATCTCGCGGTTCGTGGGTTCAAGCCCCGCGTCAGGCTCTGTGCTGACTGCCAGCTCAGAGCCTGGAGCCTGTTTCAGAGTCTGTGACTCTCTCTCTGACCCTCCCCTACTCATGCTGTCTCTCTCCTAGAAATAAATAAAATATTTAAAAAAANAAAAAAAAAAAAAAAAAAAAAGAAAGTCGGACGCTTAACCAACTAAGCCACCCAGGCACCCCTAAGTTTACTTTTGAAAGAAAGGCAAATACATGACTTCACTCATATGAGGAAATTAAGGTACAAACCAGATGAACATAAGGGAAGGGGAGCAAAAAGAAAATAAAAACAGGGAGAGAGACCAAACCTACGAGACTCTTAGAGAGCAAACAGAGGGTTACTGGAAGGGTTGTGCGAGGGGGGATGGGCTAAATGGGTAATTGGCATTAAGGAATCTACTCCTGAAATCATTGTTGCACTATAAGCTAACTAACATGGATGTAAATTAAACAGTAAATTAAACAAAAAAAGAGTTGGATGCTGAAGTGACTGAGCCACCCAGGTGCCCCAGTAGTTTCAAGAGCACCTTTAAATATTTTACTTCCTCATATGCCTTGAACTATCTTCCTATGTATGTTCGGGTATGTCAGATGAACAAGGCATGATCTTTTCTGTTCATCCATACTATCTTGTTGTCAAGTAGGCCTATTTCATACTCATTTTACTAATGAGGAAATGAAGTCTAAAAATATGAATGACTTGTCAAGGTGCCTGGGTGGATCCGTTGGTGAAGTGTTCGGCTTTGGCTCAGGTCATGATATTGCAGTTCATGAGTTCAAGCCCCGTATGGGGCTCTGTGACAGCTCAGAGCCTGAAGCCTGCTTTAGATTCTGTGTCTTCCTCTCTCTTTGCCCCTCTCCTGCTTGTATGCTGTCTCCCTCTCTCTCTCTCTCAAAAATAAACAGTAAAAAAATATATAGAATATGAATGACTTGTCACAAAGCTGGTAAGTGACAAATCCCCGGACATCAATACAGAGCTATAGAATCCATGGATCTAACTTTATTTTTTTTGTGTGTGCAATTGTATGTATCTAACTTCATATCACGCATCAGAAGCTGATACTAGGGCTTGTTGTTTTTGGTTTCTTTGCTTGACCTTTTAGCTGTCTGAGCCTTGTAATTATTACTTGTCTTTAATGTCTGCTTGACAACTCCCGTGGACAAGAAAATAATTCACTTCTATTCTGTCGGTAGGTAGTTTAGAGCTGTTTAAATGTGAATTTATTTTCTTGCCTGGTTTCATTACATTTTCATTTTGTTCAATTTCCCTCCTTATTAGAAGTTCGACATGGGTAACTTAGAACTTCTCAGTTCAAAGAAGGATCTCAGCAATGAGGTCAGAGGAGTGAGATGTCTTCTGGTAATAGCATACCACCCCTCCCCTTTTTTGAATCAAATGGACTTTATTAGAACCTGGAGGAGGAGGCTTTAAATGTCCCTAACTTCCCAATGCCATTGGAAATATGGCATTTTTAGCCTTTGTCAAACTTCACATGATTGACCTCCGTAAAACTAGAACTATAAAAAGAATCCTACCAATTTAGTTTTAAATATGACAAAAGGGAAATCAATACATTTGTTACACTTAAAATTTTTTTAATGTTTTATTTACTTCTGAGGGAAAAAGAGACAGTGTGAGCAGGGGAGGGTCAGAGAGAGAAGGAGATACAGAATCTGAAACAGGGTCCAGGCTCTGACCTAGCTGTCAGCACAGAGCCCAACATGAGGCTCAAACCTATGATCCGTGAGACCATGACCTGATCGAAGTCGGACACTTAACTGACTGAGGCAACTAGGTGCCCCAACACTTTAAAAATCCATATTATTTCAACTGATAAGAACTCCTTGAGGTAAATATCTTGAGTATAATGCAATCTTCATTGACTCACTCCTTTCCAGCTTGTACTTGATTTAAGAGACCTTGGGTTATCTGAATTAAAAACTGGACAGATTGATTAACTGGTAGACGATCTACTTCCTGGATGTTGTAAAGGCAAGAGTGTCTCTTCCCATTGGCATACATCTCCTGTCTCTGCACAGTCCTTCCTTGAGAATAAATATGGTAAGTTAGTGTGTTTTTTTGTTTCAATGTAAGTGGTCGTAGTTCTTAATAATTTAACTGGTAGCATTTATTTCTTTTTAAAGTTGTTTATTTATCTATGTATTTTGAGAAAGTCAGAGCCAGTGTGAATAGGGGAGGAGCAGAGAGAGAGAAAGAGAGAGAGAGAATCCCAAGTATGCTCCAGACCATCCGTGCAGAGTCCAATGCAGGACTCGAACCCACAAAACTGAGTGGGTAGTTTGTTAAAAGGATTTCTGCTTCATGAATTTCTCTTTGGATGATACTTGAACAGTGAATCTTAGACATTATCAAAATACTTGTTTCAGGGGCACGTTGATGGCTCAGTGTTAAGTGTCTGACACTTGACTTCAGCTCAGGTCATGATCTCATGGTTCACGAGATTTGATCCCCATGTCAGACTCTGTGCGAAAAACATGGAGCCTACTTGAGATTGTCTCTCTCTCTCTCTCTCTCTGTCTCTGCCCTGCCTCTGCTCAGGTTCTCTCTCGCTCACTCTCTCAAAATAAATTTTATTTTATTTTTCAAAATAAATTTTAAAAACCTGATAAATATACTTGTTTTATGATGATGAAAGAACATATTGTAAAAAGTCAATACAAAGTGTAACACAAAAGTGCAGGTTTAAATAGTTTTGTGATAAGGGATTGATTTGAAGCTGTATGTTGGGATCACGTTGTTCATTTACTTTTTTTTTTTTTTTTTTTTAAAGTCAAGTATATTTCTTTTTTTTTAAATTTTTTTAATGTTTTATTTATTTCTAGGAGAGAGAGAGAGAGAGAGACAGCGTGAGCAGGGGAGGGTCAGAGAGAGAGGGAGTCACAGACTCTGGAACAGGCTCCAGGTTCTGAGCTGGCAGTCAGCACAGAGCCTGATGCGGGGCTCGAACCCATGAACCGTGAGATCATGACCTAAGCGAAAGTCGGATGCTTAACCGACTAAGCCACCCAGGCGCCCCAGGTTGTTCATTTACTAATTCTTCATTATTTTGCCTTTATGTCATAGAAGGGTTGTGAGGAAAAGGTGAAGTTTTTGACTTGGGCTTGGAGTAAAAATCTGCTTCTCTTATTTTTTACGCTCTACTACATCCTTCCTCAGAGAAGTCTCTAGGCTTAGTGGTTAAGGGTGAGGAGTGGACCAGGATCAAACTCAGTCCTGAGACTGAGGTGCTGTGGCATTTACCTCATTCCTCTACACTGCTGTTTCCTCATATGAAGCCGGAGGAAAAACTCCTTATCTCACCTTGTAGGATCAAATGAAAGAATCAAAGTAGTTTACTTAGCCCAAAGGACTTCACTCCTTGGCCCATAGTAAGTGTCCAGTGGAGTTAAATTTTTGTTCCTATCCTTGAGGTAGGGTAGTAGTAGTATTACCTTTGCTCCTTTGGTTTGTGTATTTGCATTTCCTTTTAAAGTTGTTCCTCTTCCTGCCGGCTGGTTTTTGTTTTTTGTTTTTTGTGGCTTAGGCAGGGAGAGGTATTCAGAAGGAGTTTCTTGATGTGACTATAGGACTCCTAGAAACATTCCTGAACTCTTCCTTGGGATCTAGGGATAGATAAGAATCAGTTTCTATTGCTGCTGTTTCCTTTTCCCCTAGGCTCATGGTTGTAAAGTGGGATGGGCCCATTAGTCCACAGTAGGAGTTAACATGGTTCTCCAGCATTCCTGGCTTGCAGCTGTGGAAGGAAGTCTGTTTGTACCCAGTGACCTGGAGCTTTGGGAGACAAAGATTCCCTTGCTCCTGGTTTACAGTGTTTTCTCGTCTCATTATTCATTTGAGTGTTTGAAATTGTCTCTAGGAAATAGCAGTTCTTTTCTCTTTTTGCTTTTGACTAACAGGAGCTTTAGCTCAGCATATCTTATCTGTTACCTTTTGGTCTGAATTTAATTTCCTTGGCAGGCAGGGTCATCTACTAGGTAAAAAAGATAATTGAAGGGACAAGTGATTGACAGGACAGTCGGGAAGAAGTGTAATTAGGTTAGAAGTGCTTTTAGAAACTCTTCAAAGCAAAGCCATGTGAACAAATAAAAGACTAAACTCATATTTTTATTTTTCTAATATTTGGTAAATTTGCTATAGTTCATGACTTCTTTTAGCTTGGTAACTAGAAAATTTACTTTTTTCAATTTTCCTCCAGGTTACTTAGATATGTTTAGTACTTTATATTCCCCTTGCCTGTACAGACGACATTCAAGAACTCTTAAAATATTTGTTTAGATCTTCAGTACTGGCCAGGTATGATGTACCTGTATTCACCTTGAGAAAAAAAAAAAAAAGAGACGATTTAGTCAATGGATTTGGACTGGTCTTTCTTAATCATAATAATGTTTGTAAGCATTTATTTGTAGCTCACGATAAACTGATAGAGTATTTGGAATCTGCGAATTTGAGTATGTCCGTGATTTGTCATCTGGAGAATACATAATAGCTGAAGTTTGAATGTGAGTGAAAAGTGCCACAGGAAATCAACGTCGATGGAAGTTATTGCACCTTCAAAATAATGTATAAGCACATTTGTTTACTTCCCCTTATTTTTAAAATTTCACTTTCAGAATTGTTTCATTCCATCGCAATGACGAAAAGATGTTTAATGAGAGAAAAGTCAGGGCAACAGCAAAAAGGTTTCTTCAGTGGACCAGAAATTTGAGCACTTTCCATTAGGTATAAAACAGATGACATCGCATTGATAGCAAAATCAAATCTGGATGTATTTAAATTTATTTAATAACAGACACTAGTGGTAAGTGTCAGATAACAGTGATCATGATAAAGGAAAACGACATATGTTACCTAACTTCACGGAACTTAGACTAGAGTAACACGAAATAGGTGTATGATGTTATTCCTAGTAGAACTTAGGAAACACCCCGATTTCCAAGTCAATAATCATGGGCTCTGGGATGATTCATAAACAGTTGAATTGAAACATTGCCAAAAATGGGGTAGGCCCAGAAAGGGCTCGTAACGTTTAGGGTACAATTGGCAAAAGACATTATTGTAATAAAGGGTGTGTGTGTTTGTGTGTGTGTGTGTGTGTGTGTATGTGTAGAGAAGTCTGTCTCTGAAGATTGTGTTTGAGTATTGATGCCAAGGAGAGACATAATGTACCTGAGTCAGGCACTCAAAGTATCCTGCTCATTCATTAAAATTCCATGTTGTATAGAAGAAATGCATTTACCACCTTGGTAGTTTTAAGGAAACCTGTATCTACAATTAGTGCTGATCACTATAAGCTCTGTGTAATTACAAACGAATCTGGAAGAATCCCCACATGTTTGCGGAAAACTTAAAGCACAAAAGAGATACCAAGTAGGGCATAGAGACCAGTAATCCTCTGAAGAAATGGTTAATGCAGAAGACAGAAGAATACTTAAGAAGGATGATCTATTTTAAAAAATTCATGGAAGACTTGTAAACACTGAGTGTGTATGAGGGAATGAAAAAAAAATCTTGATAAATTTTGAAAAAGTTAATAACTCAGAGGTCAGGTTCTCTGAAGATATGATAAAATGGAAATCATATTATAGAAAGGATACCTTAAAGAGTCCACAAAAATATATATGTCCTAAGAATGGAAATTTATTTATTTATTTAGAAAACTTTTTTTCTTACATTGATTTAGTTTTGAGAAACACAGAGACACAGAGCACAGGTGAGGGGGGAGGCAGAGAGAGAAAGAGACCCAGAATCCGAAGCAGCCTCCAGGCTCTGAGAGGTCAGCACAGAGCCTGAGTTGGAGCTGGAAGTCACATTCTGTGAGATCATGGCCTGAGGCAAAGTCAGACAGTTAACAGACTGAGCCACCCAGGTGCCTGGCACCACACAGGTGCTGAGCAATGAGTCAGGCAGAGAAGGACAGATACCTTATGTTTGCATGTATAGGAGAATTACGAGGAACTTAACGGAGGACCATGGGGGAGAAGAAGGGGATAAATAGTGGGGGAGAGGGAAGGAGGCAAACCATGAGAGACTCTTGAATGCTGAGAGCAAACTGAGGGTTGATGGGGGTGGGAGGGAGTGATTGGCATGGAAGAGGGCACTTATTGGGATGAGCACTGGGTGTTATATGGAAACCAACTTGACAATAATCTATTTAAAATAAATCATTTAGTGGCAAAAAATATTAGTGTCCATTCTAAAATTACTATGTTACATTTACTCTTCCAACTTGTATATTCTTTTTGTTTTTTTTTTAAGTGTTTATTTATTTCTGAGAGAGAGAGCATGAGTGAGGGAGGGGCATAGAGAGAGAGACACCGCATCCCAAGCAGGCTCCAGGCTCTGAGCTGAAAGCACAGTGCCCAATGCAGGACTCTAACTCACAAACCCTGAGATCATGACCTGAGCTGAAGTCTGAGGCTCAACCAACTCAGCCCCCAACTTTTATCTTCTTGATATCTTAAGTGTTTTCTCCTTAATTCTGTTTTTACCTACTGATTGTTTTGCATCTTAATTTCTATCTTAAAAAACAGTATTTTTGTCTTCTGAGGAAATTACCATTTGCTTTTTACTCATTTATCTGTTAAGTATGGAAGCTTAACCAAGGAGGAGAGGTTTCAAAAAGCTTTGTAATACATAGTTCCCAGTAGTTGATCTTAAGTATTTTACTATTCTACCACCCTTTCACTTTATTATTCTTTGCTTTTTCTTAAAATTTTCCTTGAAAAATTAAAGTCTTGAGCTTGAGTTCTGTATTCCTTGGTAGAGCCACGTTGTGATTGTTTGCCCTCTGTAAGGGTCTGTGGCTTTCTGGGTCAGCATATGGCCACCAGTGTCGTTTTCCATTTGGTCTTCGGTGCTCATTTTTGATATCTTTCTGGCTCTAGGTATTTGCATTGGTTACTTCTGGTTGCCTGCTGACTGATTTTTGATAGGCACTTTCTTCTCTTCTATCAGAGTCTTTTTAAAGTTGAGCTTATGTTCTCCTTGATTTCTTTGTTGAGCTGATTGGGCTTTACTCTTGCTAGATTCTCAATTCTTACATGATTTCTTATATTTTGGAGAGTAAATATTCTAGCCTTTTTTAACCACAACCATTTACAAAGCAATATCTGTACACCATACTCAATTTTTGTCACTGTCGTTTGGCATTTGTTAGGAATGTAATCATTTATGATCTAATAGTGATTCCTTATTATGAAAATAATCTCATCATGAATCATAAATCAGTGTTATAACTTACACACAGACTTCCTTGTCGTTGATGTACATTCAGTTCCATAGTTTGGCCTGGAAGCTTATAACCAGGTGAAAAGTACTGGATGTGAAACTTGGTAGGTGAGCCTTTCTGTGTACATTCAATGCCACAGACACATTTAAGTCGAATTTTGAATATAAGTTCTTGTTAACTGGAGGGAGCACTATTTCTTGAAAATGTAGGAAGTTTAGAATGCTTTTGTTGGGATATGTAAGGAGATACATAATGGGGGGTGCCTGGGTTCTCAGTTGCTTAAGCATCTGACTCCTGAGTTTGACTCAGGTCATAATCTCTTCGTTCCTGGCATTGAGCCCCACGTTGGCCCCCACTGACAGTGCAGAACCTGCTTGGGATTCTCCCTCTCCTCTCTCTCTGCCCCTCCCCACACTCATACAGGCACTCTCTCTCAAAATAAAGAAACATAAAGAAAAAAGAGAATGTATAATTTGCAAAAAGAGTTGAAAACTCCTTTGTGTCTGCAATTATAAGGGGGCCTTCTTTTGTACATCTTTCACTGAAACAAAGAGAAAGCCAAGTTCGTTTCTATTAACATTTACTATTTTCCTCTTCTTTCTTTTAAAATTTGTAATGTTTTATTTATTTCCGAGAGAGACAGAGACAGCGTGAGCAGGGGAGGGTCAGAGAGAGAGAACGACACAGAATCTGAAGTAGACTCCAGGCTCTGACCTAGCTGTCATCACAGAGCCCGACGTGGGGCTCGAACCCACAATCCGTGAGATCATGACCTGAGCCGAAGTCGGATGTTTAACCGACTGAGCCACCCAGGTGCCCCTAACATTTACTATTTTCAAAGAGGCAGCCTTGATAATCCAGTATTTAGAAATATTGGGTAAATTGTGTCATTGTAGGTGGAGGAAGCTAAACAAGAATCACAGGAGGTTGTTGAATATTTGAAAAATCCACAAAAATGTACTGTGCTTGGAGGTAAATTTCCAAAAGGAAAGCTATCATCCCTTGACAGTGACTTAACATCAAAAATGCTGTAATCCGTTGCTAATGTAATTTTGATCAGGTTTCAATGCCTTAAGTTTAATTCTTCATTGCTATTTTAGAAATAAGTCTCGGGGGGCGCATGGGTGGCTCAATCGGTTGAACGCCCGGCTTTGGCTCAGGTCATGATCTCATGTTTATGGGTTCAAGGCCCGCGTCGGGCTCTGTGCTGACAGCTAGCTCAGAGCCTGGAGTCTGTTTCAGATTCTGTGTCCCTCTCTCTCTGACCCTCTCCTGCTCATGCTGTCTTTCTCTCTCTCTCTCAGAAATAAATGAAACAGGGGCGCCTGGGTGGCTTAGTCGGTTAAGTGTCCTACTTTCGCTTAGGTCATGATCTCGCGGTTCGTGGGTTCGAGCCCCGCGTCGGGCTCTGTGCTGACTGCCAGCTCTGAGCCTGGAGCCTGTTTCAGTCTGTGACTCCCTCTCTCTCTGACCCTCCCCTGCTCACGCTGTCTCTCTCTCTTTCCTAGAAATGAATAAAACATTAAAAAAAAATTAAAAAAAAGAAAGAAATGAAACAAAAAAAAAAAGAAAGAAGAAATAGACATAACTTTGTATAACCTTATTTGGGAGGAAGGGGATGTTGAGTTTTGTTAGAATTTCAAACTTGAAGTTGTGAGAACGGTCCAAAGAACTCTGTGTACTCTTAACCAGCCCCAACAATTTTTAACACTTTCTCCTATTTGCTCATTTTCTTTCTTCACATAAATGTATTTTTTAAAGTACCTTGAGAGTAAGGTACCCTTATCATGCTCCTTTAACTCCAAATACCTATTATATATTTCTTAAAAATAAGGATATTCTGTTACTAACTCCAATATAGTGATTAAAATCAGGACATTTAACTTGGTTCCCAAAGTATGATAGAATTCACAGTCCTATTCAAATTTCAGCATTTCTCTTACTAATTACATCCTTTGTAGGGAGGTCCTCCCATCCCCCTTGCCAGCCCAGGTAGGTCTTGTTCCAGGTGTACACATAGCATTCAGGTTTTTCTTTATTCTGAAAAAGTTCTTCAGGCTTTTATTGTAGGAGTGGGTATGGATCTTTTATGACCTGAAAAATAGTACACGCTACTTTGTAGAATGTTCCTCTGTGATGTTTTCTAAGTTCATGATTTTTAATGACTGTTGCGATGTTTAAGAAGTATATATTTATCTTAATCCCAT